GCTCGGACGGAGCAATTTTCCGGTGCAGCATGTGATGAGGACTGATACGCATATTCCTATGGAGGAGGAACCAGTGAATGACGATAAGGGCGTTCCTGGTGGATGAGTTGACTAACAATGGAAGCGGTGGTGCGAATGGGAATGGGAATTTGAATGTGAATGTGAATGCGAATGCTAAGGTGGCTCCTTCTGGAGTGGATTATGTGCAAAGTGTGAGAATGATGTTTAATGAAAGGGAATTCGGGTCGAATTCAATGCGGGAATAAAAAGATTATGTGCTTGGTGGAGGAGTGCTTATTAATCTGATTTCAATCAACAACTCGTGCCACTTAATCTCATCAATAAAAAGAAAACTAATGTGGCAAAGATGCAGAGCGCAGCTGGCATCAAATCTGGCCTCGCCGTTTGCCACATCTACTAAAACTTAACACCATCTATTTTTAAAGACTAACACTAAGAGTTTCAAAACTACGAGGACTAAAAACTATCAAAGTTTTGAGTAGGGACTAAAACCAAAAATCGTGTGATACTTAATAGAAGAAAAACATATAGTTATTGTTGATTTTCTCATGACAAGGAGATACGCACCGGAGAAGTTTGTCAAAAGATTGGCTGTAGACAGCTTGGCGGTGGACCAGGACGCAACACCACCAATAACGACCCACCACCTACCACCCTCAAACTATGCCAACAACAGTTCTTTACATTCGCATGCTAGCAAGCTATTTCGCACCAATTTTTTACAACAATTTAATATATACAGTATATATACAATTTAATATATATTATTATTTTACTAATTTATTATTTATTTGTTATTATATTAACATACTTTAAATTTAATAAAAATATAATACATATATTATGTCAAAATATTGAAAAAAAAAACATTTTAATATATGATTTTCTTATCCAATACAATGAAACCGTCCAAAAATACTCCAAAGTCCACTTAAGTTGATTTTATTCTTTTATTTTCCAAGGTTTATGAAGAAGTTTTTTTCCACCAACACTTTTTGCTTTGTTATAATAAATTCCGTCTCAAGAAAAACATCTATCATACCGAACGATTTTTCATCAACTAGTTCACACTCTGAAAGAAAAGCAGCTTTGTAAGCTTCAAATCCTCATTCTACGTTCATGTGTTACTCCTGAATCAGAATGAGTGTGGTTTTCTGTTTGTTTGGTCTCTGTGTTTCCATAATCATATCGCGTGCAAGCTCTCAGACAGCATCCTGTGATAACATCCTGTGGTTTATTCTATCTGATAAAGGTTCCTCAAATCCCATTTTTCTTCTTATTCCTCACAAAACAATCAACAATCCAACATGGCTCAGCTTTCGCCAAGGCTACTTTACTTTCTCTTTTTTCTTCTGATAACAAATTCTATATCTCAAGTTACAGCAGCCAACACTACACAAAACTTCCACTACTTCTGTGATCATGATAACGATAGAGGAGACTACACGGCCAACAGCACCTACCACACCAACCTCAACACCCTTTTGTCCACTCTCGTTTCCAATAAAGAAATCTATTACGGTTTCTACAATTTCACAAACGGCGAAAACACTGATAAAGTGTACGCCATTGGGCTGTGTAGAGGAGATGTTGAGCCAGAGAACTGCCGCACATGCCTCAACGGTTCCAGGACCAATCTCACTGAACTTTGTCCAAACCGAAAGGAAGCAATTGGTTGGTACGAGGATGAGCAGTGTATGTTGCGCTACTCAGACCGCAATATATTCCGCCTTATGGAAATTGGACCAGCTTTTTATGCTAACAATGACAAAAATGCATCGGATTTGGATGAGTTCAATGAAGATGTCAACACCTTGCTACGTAACCTAAGCTGCATAGCTGCATCAGGTGACTCTCGTGTTAAGTATGCTGCAGATGGTATATTATCAGGTTCAAAGGTCATATATGGTCTAGTTCAGTGCACACCGGACTTGGGAAACTTAGAGTGCGCTGATTGCTTGTATCAGTCCATTGAACGTATCCCAATAGATTGTTGTAAAGACAAGATAGGTGGTAGGGTTGTTAGACCAAGTTGTAATATGAGGTTCGAAACCTCCTTTGAGTTCTATGGAGATCCAGCATTTGTACCACCAGCTCCTCCTCCTTCCACCACGGGTACTACTTCTTATACTATCTTAATTAATTCTATTGCTCTTTCTGAACTAAACTCATGCATGTACAGTTTTTACCTGTGTTACAGAATTTATTTAAACATTTTCTTCTACCACCTCTAGTGTAGTAGTTTGGTTAAATGTGGTTTTCGGGTGTGTTTACACTTATATCTACATGTTGACTAAGTTGGTCAAACAGCGTGTATATATAGATCACCCAATATGGTACTCAACTAAGACAGCTTTTAGGTAATAAGGTCGATAATTGTCTGGTTTTGTTTTCCATATTCATATGACAGAAAAAAGTAATATGCTCTTAGGTAGCCAAAAAATCGATAAATACATAGTGAGAGAGTGAAAATAATAGACCGTCAAATGCTAACAGACAACTAGTACCAGTGGGAGATAAAAAATATATTGATACTCGTGGTGGTAGCGAGATCCCTCATTTTGTGAGACACTAACAATATACCCTTATGTGTCTTTATTTATTATTATTTTAAGTGTTTTTAAATCTATATTTATGAGATTATTGATTGTAAATATTGTGTAATTAGTTAAATTTATCTCATTTATGTTATGTATAAATTCTTTGCTCATAAAGGTTGGATGGAAGTTGAGACTGCTCTGTGTTTTCAGATATCTTTTTCCTTCAAATTATGTCTAATACAATGCAATAAAAAAACCGTGTTGAGATGGCCTTAATAATTAGTTATTAGATTGAATAAGACGATTTGACACATATTTTAAATTTATTTGACACTATCATTATTCACTTTTTATTCTCTTTTTTCTTGAAACAATTGAAAAGTTTATACTTTTTTTTAATCATTTTATCTTGTAATTCGTGTCAAATGAATTTGTTGATGTTTTATGCATGATATTTATCTGCACAATGTCCCTCTGAGGATTCTGATTTGTGCAGGAAAGAGAAACGCAATTATCATAGCAGTGTCAGTTGTTGTAATTGTTTCCGCGGTGCTTACTTTTATGTACATTCGTTTAAACGGGAGGAATTCATGGACAAATTTGGAAAGTAAGTGGAAGCACTTGTTTACCGTGACATATCTTCTATTTAACGGTCCTGCATTATTGTAGTGTTTTAAATTGAGTAATATTTTAAAACCGTTCCTTGTGTGAAGCTCTACAAGAAAAACTATATGATGATGATAATGATGGAATTGACGCTTCTGAGCCATTGCAAATCAGATTTAACATCATACGAGATGCTACAAATGACTTTTCTGATTCTAATAAACTCGGACAGGGTGGATTTGGAGCTGTTTACAGGGTATAACTTCTTCAA